CCTTCACTTTAAAAGTAGCCAAACCTGGGTTTAGTGTATTTCATAATGAGTTTCTTTCTTATTTCAAAACCCTTAAAGTAGTGAAAAGTAAAAGTGTAGTGAAACCTTTTAGTAAAATAGAGGAATATGATTTACAAAAAAGCCTGTGCCGTTTAAATGTATTCTATTTATTTAATTCATTTTTATATTTCAGTGTTGTTTCAGTCTCATGTCTGTTTTGGTTTGTCTTTTTGTATGCACTTAAAAGAAGCTTGTTTCTCATGCAAGTTCTGTGTTTAAAAGTCTTGTTTGCTGTATTCTAGTATTGCTATGTAAGTTGGTCTTTGTGTTTTTGTTGGCAGTATATTCTCATTTGTAGAGAAAGATTGTGCTTTGGATTGGTGACTTAAAACAGTTGATTGCTGAGTCTAATTCCCAGCATCGATATAGGAAGATCTGAGAATGAGACTTAACAATCAACAATCTTTCTCGGCTCTGATTGGTTGTTTCTGTTCAGGCCCGGTGCATTCTTGCAAATCCCACTAGGAGCACTAGGAGGAGCCAGAGGAACCTGCTATTTTCCCACATTATCTGTCTCATGTACCACTGTCAGGAAAACATGACATACTACAGCTTAAATAAGGCTTTTATTTTGAAAGGCACTGAAAGGCAACACCCTCTACTGATGGTGTTAAACGTTATCAGCGGTTAGCTTGCTACAGGTTGCTGTCAGGTCAGTGACTAACGTTACGTTTTAAAGTAAGCTAACATGTTAAAGTTAAACTGCCAAACTTTCATTTTAGTCCGTGTTTACGTTAGCTAAGTAGGCTAGCGTTTAAGCGTAAGGGACACTAGCTTAGTTCCTATCAATTGCTATTAGTTGTAGCGTGTAACGTTAGATAATATAAAGTAGGCGGTGGAAGGCTTCTGAAGTTCGCTGAACAATAACAGTTCTTTTGCGATATGTAGCTATTTTATATGCAAATGTTTCTTGGCAATGTTTGGTCTGAAGTAGCCCTTCCATAACCTGTAAGTGTATCCAGTTTGTTCAGAGTACATGCACTTTCTGCTGTGTGTTCATCTCAGTCCTGTGTGGCGGTGGCTGTGATGTGCTGTTGTTTACTGTAGGAGACAGAACTGCGGTAAACACTCCGCTGGTAAACACTGCTGAGCTAACTCACTGTCCTCTTTAGACTTACACGTCGAAATGAGTGTGGACAATGCAGTGCACAGAGGACTAAAGAGACTTGGATAAGGGTTTCTGGTGTATTTGTGATCCACCATGCAGCTTTATATGGAAACCCATTTCCGCCAATGTAACATCATTATAAAGAGGACTTTTCTAAAATACTAGTATCTCAAGATAATGAGAAAGTTTCTCAATATTCTGACTTAGTCTAAGTAGTATGAGTCAAAATATTGAGTGATTAATTCAAAACATTGAGATTTTTTTTGTTATTTTGAGATGTCAAATAGAAAAAGAGAAGTCAAAATATTTGGAAAGTTTCACATTATAATGACGTACATTATGTTTTTTTACGTCACATTGGGGGAAATTGGCTTCCATAGCTTTTATGTGTCAGCCAAGTGTCTTGAAAAACTGATGGTGAGAGAATCTTTTTGATCTTAAAAGAAAACAACATGCAGTTGAAAATGAATCATTGTACAGGAAGCTGTTGCACTGAACTGTGTCGCCATCGTTGGCTGTATGAGTGTCACCCTCATGTAAACACTGAACTAATGTGACCTGATGTGTCATGGATTGACGACGTTGTAGATTTCACAGTTTACTACTATATTTTATGCTACATGCAAATACTGTATTTCTATTGGTGTTTACAGTACATACCCTGCAGACAGATCTTTGAAATATAGCGGCACTCAGCGGATATGTTATGAACCTGAGAAATACTCTAATTCATTTAGTCAAAACACAGAAGTGGATGTTCCTCTGCTAAACAGCCGACAACTGACCTTTATATCAATTCACAGACAGGACTGCAAGTATAGTTGGAGCTTTTCTTCAGTATGAACTTATTTGCATTATAATCAATTTGGTAACAAGGGTTGTGCATTGGCAGGGATTTGGCAATACAATACTCATCACAATACACAGATCAGTTTAAACAAGTAAGAACAAGTCCCAGATCTACACAAAGCCATTAAAAGAGCCTCTCTCTGATCTTTTCCTCTTGCTCCTTTTACCAGACAGACTGATAACTGCACCTGACTGAGCGCTGGCAGGGGTTGGAGTCTGCCCAAGAGGGGCAGGAAGGCCTAAAGCTTGGTTTTATTAACATGTGTTGTTGGAAAGTCTTGTGTCTGCAGATACTGAGTCTGGTGTTTATTCTTATTATATTTTTCTTCATAATTCATAATATAGCTGCACAGTGCAGTTAGTTAGTCATCAATACACTGCAAAAGGTGCCAAACATTTCTATGTATAGTTATGCTTTGCAGGTTTCCTTTGACGATTCTTTTTTTTTTTTTTTTTACAATTTCATGTTTTCTCCTCATTGCTCTTCGGTTGTTTGAACGTTTCCGATGCAGGACCAAGCTGTTTATCAGACAGTGAAGGCTCTCTGAATATAGCTTGTGTTCAGGTCTCTCTCAGGTTTTTATTTTTTAAAAGTTTTTTAGCCTAGTGACCCCTTGTGAAGCTTTGGGGACACCCCACGTTGGGAACCACTGCACTGATGCCTGAAGAGGAGTGTCAGTTTGGATCTGCTGTAGCAGGATTTTTATACAGCCTCTCTTCATCTCTTCAGCATACAAAGAAAACAGCCAAAGTTCAGATGTAGCAGCACTTTGGCTAATTTTTGGTTAAATATAGCAACCTCAGTGCTGCAAGGGCACCTTTTATGTGTCCAATCTGTACAGTTGGTAAATCCCTCAGATGAGCTGAAACATTTAACGAGGTTGGAAACATTTAAGGATCTTCATTGCCATGTTAGTTCACTGGTTATAGATACAACAAGAGATTACAAAGTGGAATTCAAACATGACATTTCCGAATAAATTCTCAACAATGTTAATGTCTTCCAAATCCTTTGCAACTTTGAATGTATCTGTGGTAGATGCAAAAACATCCATATGCAGGAAAGAGCTGCAGCTCCAGCCCTGTGGTCGTCAAAACCTTAACAGTACACGTTAAAGAGCATCTTTTAAGAAACTCTTTTCTCCCTCAGCTTTAAAGATGAGTTCCAGAGTGTTCGGTGATCTGGAGAAAGAGGAGGAGGAGGAGGAAGAAGGAGAAGAAGAAGAAGAAGAAGAAGAAGAAGAGAGCTTCAACCGGACGGAAGTGAAAATGAGTCAGATAGTGATGCCCTGTCACAGCAACCATCGGCAGGAGCTGAGCGTGGGACAGCTGCTCAAATGGATGGACTCCACCGCCTGCCTCTCTGGTAATATATGTGTGTGTGTGATTCAATATTAGTCATGTGGTGTGTGTGGAAATGCTTTAATCTCATTTGGGAGTGTCCAGAGGATGTTGTAACCACTGACCAACCAGACAGGACATTACTCGTGTGTTTCCTATGTGCAGCTGAGAGGCACGCTGTGAGTCCCTGCGTCACTGCCTCCATGGATGACATCCACTTTGAACACACCATCAGGTAACAGGCAGTGTGTGTACAGAGGCGTGGGCCCTTCTTAATTCTGCCAGTGTGTGTGTTTATACAGTATACACTAATTCTTGTCTGTATCTGTATCTGTGCAGCGTGGGTCAGGTAGTGAACATTAAGGCAAAGGTCAACCGAGCCTTCAACACCAGCATGGAGGTCAGATAACACACACGCCGTCATACCATTATACCTGCTGTGTCTTATGTAATAAACCTATAACCAGTCTGTGCAGTAAGGCATTACAAATAATAATATCACTTCCCCCAGTACCTAGTAGTGTAAATAATTACTAATACATTTAAGTAATGATATTACAGTTACTCTTTCTTATCCTACTGATCTGAAGTCTAACAGTCCAATCACATCCTTGGGTTAATTTTTGTAGTTGTGGAGGAAACTAGTTTGGAAGATGGAAGCTCTTACATTCAGCAGCTGGATATATTCAATTACTTAGAGTTTAACAAACAAAACTGGATTTTAATCGTCATTAGTCTGAATTTTGGGGGTGTACAATTACCAATTTTGTGGGGAGTATCAGAAAAGAAGTTCCAACTCACTCCTTTCATCCTCCCTTTGTATCCACGAGGGAGAAACTACGGTGGCCCTGAAAAACGCTAGCAGCCCTATCTAGAGCCAGTGTTTGGTTTGTCCATTCTGGGCTACTGTAGAAACATGACAGACTCCATGGAAGGTGACCCGGGGTTTCTGCATCAGTTTAACCAAATTACTACAAAACATTTTATCAGCTGTACCGTATAATATACCCTAGATTCTCAAATAATAGCCCAGGCCTTTATTTACACTCTTTAAAGCGGGTATGCGGGTATGGTTGGCTTCAATGTCCCACAGTTCCCAGCTCACAATTTCAGCGGTTTGGTTCACTCTCGCTGCTATATTCCATCTCAGGTGGGCATACAGGTGAGCTGTGAGGACCTGTTCTCTGACCGTCACTGGAGGGTTTGTCTCGCCTACGCCACCTTTGTTACCCAGCGCACAAACACAGGGAAAAAGGTAGGGGCTGTGTTGTGTGGCATACCAAATGATTCTGAGGACATCGTTCATGACCATTTGGACTGAGCTGACACACGGCGTGTGTGTAGGTGATGATTTACTGACATTATCTCACAGGTCATCTTGAAGCCCATTGTGCCTCACACTCAGAAAGAGCAGGTTGAATACAGCGTGGCGGCTGAGAGACGGCGGGTCAGGATGGTACACGATGACATCATCAAAGAGCTGCTCTCCAACGGGTCTATCCAGCAGGGTAGGTTGAACCCATTCCTGCTACATCACAGCATCAGCAGACCACATCAGATGTAGCAGTTTTCCCTGAGTAAGCAGAGTTTTTGCGGATGTTTTGGATGGGGTGCCCTGTTTGAGAATGCTGTTGAGAAAGCAACTGAATACAGCGTATCAAGGCTTTAAACACAATGAATGTAAAAAGAAATATGATTCTGGTCAAATAGACTAACCGTGGGCTTGCACAAATGCCATGCACGCTAAACTTGATTAAAAACACATCAGTTGAGCCACAATGTTGCGTTGGGTGACGTGTATATTGTAGTTTATTTTGACCTAATCACACATACACCATCCTGCTGTCACAAATAGTACCCCTAGCGGTACTCTGCAGGGGTTACTTGATAATATACTATAAGTTCAATTAACCACATTTTATCTTCAGTAGGGATGCACCGAATATTCGGCCACCGAAAGTTTTCAGCCGAAATACTTTTATCACCGAAACAACACGGCCGAAACAGAAAGTTGTGATGACGCAAACAAAAACCGCGGCCCGCACACGCTTGTCTGGATAAGCGCCAACATATCTGCGGTGTGGACGTATTTTAATATATCTGAGAAAGACCCACGGATAGCGATTTGCAAAACGTGTAATGCTGAAATCGGGTTTCCTGACCTGGCAAAGATGGCACGCAAGTACTTGTCTGCTCCGTGCACAAGCACTGACAGCGAGAGACTGTTCAGTGCTGCAGCTCATATTCTCGATGAGAAGAGGAACAGACTTCACTGTGATAAAGCAGAGAAGCTACTTTTCATCAAGAAAAACCTGCCACTTTACCTGAAGAAGTAGTGGTAGTGTTTAAATATTTGTTTTCCACTTTGCACATCTGCAATTCTTGGTGCATTTGTTGTTGTTAAAGGCCTACGGTTGACATATGGGCTATGGCAATCTTTGTTTTGATACACTGTTATGTTGTAGGCCTACAGAGAAAATATTGTTATATCTTCCAGCAGTTGCAGTCTTGTTCTGAATGCACTTTGTTGTAGTAGTCCTACAGAGAACATTTTAAAATGCACTTGACTTAAATGCACTTTGTGTTTTTATGAGAGAACATATTTAATTTTACAATCTTGCAGCAGGCCAGTCAGTTATAGGCCTGTACATTATTATTTATTTAATGTACACATGAGTGGGGTCAAGTTAAACATTTTATTTAGAATTTTATTTTATATTGTGCATTGTTCTAATGTCAGTGCTAAATAAATATTTTCATACTTTTGTAATTGATTTATTCTTTGAATTGCAAAGCCTTGATTTTAGTGAGGTTAGTACACAGTCTAGCCATAAATGCAATGGTACTAATAATTGGCATAATAATTTCTTTCGGTGTTTCGGTTTTCGGCCTTGGTTTCCTCATTTTCGGTTTTTGGTTTCGGCCAAGAATTTTCATTTCGGTGCATCCCTAATCTTCAGTATTCCTATTTTCAGTGCAATTGTTAACTGCTGTCAGCTGCAGGTTCCTCCCTGCCGCAGAGGACGACAAACAACTTCAGTGAAGCACAAGCAAATGTTTCTTATTAAAATCGAAGTGCAACTTATCAAAAAGGAACCCATGCACTAGAGCACCAAAGGTGGATTAATCGGCCACTTAAAATAGTCCTCAACAAATTCACTGTCACTGTTAATGAAACTATGTTTTTGGGTGCGGAGTTTAAAGGTTTACACCTTCAGTAGGAGACAGTGGGGTTGACAGCCACAGGAAGAGTAGGGAAGAGAAACACATTGCTGGTTTGATTCTTTTCATGGGATTGGTTAAAATGTATAGAATAACACCAAGTATATCTTTCAAATCCCGTTTTTGTGTGTGTGTTTGTGTGTGTCAGCTGACAACTTGACAGTGGGCAATGCGGTACCAGCAGAGAGGACCAGGGTGGAGAGTGTTGAACTGGTTCTACCCCCCCACGCTAACCATCAGGTTATTTATTTATGTCTCTGTCTGTCTGCCTCTCTGTCCATTTGTGCTATTTTTGGTACTGTATGTCATAATCTTTATGTAATATTAGGAGTTTTTGTCACATTAACTTCAGTAAAATATTTTGTCATGTTGCCATCATGCAACATAGTATAATAATCCATTCATAAATATATCTCTGAGGGTCTAAACATCAGTTTTTCAATGAATTGAAAGGCTTCTACTATTCATGCACTCTATATTTGATCAGTGTCATTATTGTGCTGAAGGGTAAGTCGACTGTATCATCCTCTCTGATCTGATCTGATGTCTGCATACCAGGTGAATACATTTGGAGGACAGATCATGGCCTGGATGGTGAATGTAGCTACGATTGCTGCCAGGTACAGTCACACATACACACATTTTAAAAGCTTTATTTGAATCCACCAGGGTTACAGAGGTTGCACATACATGAACACACATTCACAGTCATACATGTGCGCGCACTCAAACAAAAGTTTGATTGATAATTAAAAGAATCATTATTTGCAGCCTAAGCTGAGCTGAATGTGCCCAAAAATGGTGAATAAAGAGAAGTCTACCGATGTGCTTGCCCTGTTGTTTTTTAAGGGCTTCCCTTACTGGAGCTACTCAGTGTGTTTTTATTCATTTTATTTTGCATTAGATGTTTGACCAAATCAAACGTGCTAGTGGGAAACAGCTCTACTAATAGCACACTGTGAAACCATCCTCACTCCACCCTTTACACGCTGTTAAAGCACCTAAAGCAATGTCTTTATTCTTGCTATTTGTGCTTCAGAGCTTTTTTCCCCAATGATGTTTCAAGAACACATGTGTTTTCAACGGCAAAAACAAGCAACAGCAGCTCTTTTAATATGAAAGAAAAATAAAATTTTTATGTTAACACAGATACACTCATTCTTGCAAGTGTGTGACAAGGAAACACAATCATTCTCTTTCTCTATGCAGTCGTCTGTGTCAGGCTCACCCAACTCTGCGGTCCATCGACATGTTCACCTTCAGAGGACCTTCTCAGATTGGAGACCGACTGCTGCTGAGGGCTATAGTCAACAACGCCTTCAAAAACAGGTATCAGTGTGTCCAGAATCAGCCATAAAGATACAGATAAGATTAAACGTATGTGTTGTGTGTGGAGAAAACGGGTCGCAGTAACAGCTCTGTATGAAATGAATTTTTTGATGACGTGTGTCCTGCAGCATTGAGGTGGGGGTGCGTGCAGAGGCCTACCATGAGGAGGGACATAACCGACACATAAACTCTGCTTTCATGACCTTTGAGGTGCTTGACAATCACGGGAAGCCATGTACATTGCCGCGGATACGACCGGAACCCTTGGTGAGTTAACCAACAGCATTAGAAGTGCTGATGAAGATTACACTGGTATTTTCACACTAAACATGAAGCGAAGTTTCGCAGGCACATATCTTCAGCACTCACCAGGTAGTCCAACCTCCTCGCTTATGTTTCTCCAGACAATCTCCTTTTATGTCTGGTTTCTGTATACATATGAAGCAGTATTACAGAGCTCTGGCTGCACACACACAGATACAAGTCGGGGTGGCACCTCCATGGCTCGCAGCAGACAGGTTGGGAAATGAGCGAAGATAAATCGACTTTTTAATTCTAAAAGTTTTAAAGAATGAACTCTGAGCTTTCATCTTGTTGGCAAACAGCTCCAGATCAGAGCAAAAGGTAGCATGAAATATAAGTGACTTAAGCTGACTCTGACAAAAATAAACAGAGGCAAGAAACATTGCACCTCCTTGTGAGGTGGCATGTCTTCCAGTCCTTTATTTTCTGTTATATTCACATTATGGACCGTTCCTGGTTTTGAATTCAAGTGTTATAAATGTACCAAATGAACATGAGACTACTAATAATATTAGTAGGCAGTTAATATCTTTTTAAATCAAGCACAGCTCATTATGCCAGGATTCTTTGTTCCCCATTGCTGTTTCCCCTCATTTCCTGTCATCTCTACTCTTGCTTTCCAACAAAGACTAAAATAGATAGATAGATAGAATACTTTATTTATCCTCAAAGGGAAATTATAGTGTTATGGCAGCTAATTCAGAGTCAATTATTATTAGAAAGTCTTATTGCAGAGAGGAGGAACGATTTTCTATATCGTTCCTTAGAGCAGCGTGGTTGAATGAGTCTGTTGCTGAATTGCCAGCAGTTTTGCCAGCATCCTCTCCTCCACCACCTCCTCCAGGGTGACAAGCTTCAAGCCAACAACAGATTCAGCCTTTTTATTAAGTTTGTTCAGTCTGTTGGCGTCCTTTGCCTTGATGCCCACACCCCATGACACCGCAGCAAAGAAGATGGTGCTCGCCACCACAGACTGATAGAACATCTGCAACATCCTGTTGCAGACATTGAAAGACCTGAGCCTCCTCAGGAAGTAAAGCCGAATCTGGCCCTTGTTGTAGATGGCCTCTTAGTTTGTGGACCAGTCCAGTTTGTTGTCTAGTGTGACATCCAAGTACTTATATGCCAACACCATATCCACATCTGTCCCACCGATGCTGACAGGAGGAACTGTGTCTCTGGGTTTTGTAATATTTTACATTATATCTAGTCATTTGATCCATTGTTGATAACTATAAGTGTAGCCTTTTATCTGGATTAGAGCTCTGACTGTAGCTCTAGCTCAGCAGCAGACCTACTGCATCATGCTGAGATAAAAAAAAAATTCTAAGAATAATCAGTATAACTTCTAATCTAAGTATTTGTATAGCCAGAACAAACGCAGGCAGGGCGCTTTGGCGGGGCACTTTTTTCTGCAAAAGAAGTACAAAACAGTATTGGACGGTATGAAAAAACTCCTTTACAGTGGGAGAGGGTGGTGTCAGTGTTGTGTAACATTCAGAAACTGACAAACTGTTACTAGTGCTATTACAACCACTGATAATAGATTGAGTATGGAAAGGTTACGTGGCCAATCATTTCCAAGTTGTTACAGCTATAAACTGCAGTCATATTAACTTTAAGTTGCCCCCATGCAGCCTCTGTTTTCCAGAGCTGGGATTGGAGTGGTATGAAGGCTCAGCTGAACAAAGATCAGAGCTATAAACTTGACTTGACTCAACAAGCAGAAAGAATGCTGGGGAAAAAATGGCACCACTCATAAACCCTTTGACGGCCTGTGTTCCTTGAAGCAGCTCTTATCACAATGTCCTTCTCCTACATATATGAGTGCTGTGTTTATGGGGTGACATGTGAATTGGAAGACTAGAGTACTACAAACAAAAACAAATACAACCCACCCATACTGCAGCCTTTATGGGCCTCTACACATTGTGATGCAGCAGGGGTCAGATGTATAAATGAGTATTTGCATCTCAGGCAGACTGCAGACCAGCGCACACACAGTGTTTCACAGAGAGAGAGAGAGAGAGAGAGAGAGAGAGAGAGAGAGAGAGAGGAGATGAGCTGAGATGAGATGAGATTATAAACAAGTAGACAGCCGACAGAGTTTGTAAATAGTTATTATTTACAACCACGCCTTTTCCTGACTGATCAGAACTTTTATAATAATAATAATAAATAATAAATAACTTCTAATCAATAGAACTTACTTATTATTTTCTATTTATTTATTGACGCCTTCACTGCAAGATCTATCAACACAACACAACCCCTCAGTTGAGTGTGCAAGTTCCTCTAACATTGTGCTCGCATTGTTTTGTAGTGGAGGCTAGTGATAGCATTACAATTCTCAGTTGACAATGAAGTGGCCGGCTGGACAGGCTGTTTGGCCGCCATATGGTGTTTATGGAAAGGCTATGTGCTATGCACATTTCTGTCTTTGTGCGTACGCGCAGCTTTAGTTGTGAATGTGTCACAACTATGGTACCAAATCTATGCTGTGAAAGGCCAACAGGACCGAGTACAAGGCCACTCAAAACAGCATTTTGCAACGCTAGAAAACGGAGGAAGCCTTTGTCTGTGATAGGATGATTTCACCTCAGGCTTGAAAACTTTTTTTTTTTTTTGGCGTTGAGTTTGAGGACTATTGAGTTGCATGGTGGGAAATGTAGGATCCAGTGTTTTTGGAGATGAACCAATAGTAGGGATTCAAAGTCAGGCTGTCTCGCCCTCTGCTGCACACATTTTGACCACTCTTTTGTTCATCTGTCTCTTATGAGTTCCACAACTTGATGGAAGTGCAAAACCTAAACACTGGAGTATCCTGTAGCACATATAGCATCTTGACTTGACTTGAGCCAGTTCATTCTGTCTTTCTTTTACAGGAAGGTGAGAGGCGGTTTCAAGAAGCCATAGCCAGGAAGAAGATCCGACTGGACAGGTAACGTGTTTATTCCTGTGACGAGCACATTCTCCACTTGTAGATCCATGTTCTGTGTGCCAGAAGTGATACGATTTGTATGACATTTTCTAGTTTATTTGAATTAAAAATAAGACAGATTGAACATTTTGGGCAACAAAAGCTACCAGTATTGTGTGGAGGTGTATATGACACAGTGCCAAATATGCTAAAGGCATACATTAAAGATGTAAATATTGGTCTACAGTGCAGGTCTTGTGGTCAAACACTCCATAGGATATGTGTGTTTTGTTTATAGATTGATAGTCATGTATTCAATCGGTGATGTTTTGAAAAGGTTTAAGCAGACCGAGGGTTAATTCAATTTAATTCGCGCCAATATAGCGCCAATAAAAGTTATCTCAGGACACTTTTCAAATAGAGTAGGTCTAGACCGAACTCTTTATAACATTATTTACAGAGACCCAACAGTACCACCATGAGCAAGACCTTAGAGACGGGGGCAAGGAAAAACTGCCTGTTAAAAGGCAGAAACCTAGGGCAGATCCTTCGGCTCTAGGTGGGTGGTCGTCTGTCTCGACCAGTTGGAGAGAGAGAGAGAGAGAGAGAGAGAGACAGAGAAAGAGAGACAGACAGACAGACAGAGAGAGAGAGAGGGGGAGAGAGAACAGAGAGAACAGAGAGAGAGAGGGAGAGAGAGAGAACAGAGAGATGCAATGAACAGTGATTAAAGTAATAATAGTAACTGTAGTAATAATAATAGTAATAATAATAATAACAATAATATCAGTGATATTGGCAATGGCAGTCAAGCAGGACCATGGTAGGAGGTTCCACCAGGATCCATGAGAACCTGCGAGATGAGAAAGCACAAGAACTCCGGGGAAGAAGTAAAGTTAGTAACATGCACTAATGGAACATGAATCAGTGCATCATGGGAAATCCCCCTCACCTGTTACCATGTAACCCCTCAGTTTTAATGCAATTGTGCCGTGTTGTTCACTTGACAGGATCAGAAATTCTTCTAATTTCTCTCTTTTGTTGTTTCAGAAAATACATAATTTCCCGCAAGCAGAGTGAGGTCCCTTTGTCTGTTCCCTGGGACCCCACCAACCAGGTGAGGAAAAAGCTAAGGAATCAGTCAGGACTGGTGACTACTATATCTACTGTGAATAACACATTAATGGCAACTCATTTTGGTCCACATGGAGAGAGACAGTACCAGACTACATTTAAGGGGGAATATTCAGAAAAGTTCACTGGCTGAACAGCTTTTTTTGCTGACCTCCACCGCACCAGTTGGTCAACAATGTCACCAAGCACCGAGCTCTCTCATTTGCTATGCACTTATGGTAAAATAAATAACTAGAAAACAGAGGGTGACAAAAAGTTGGCTTCTTTAAGTGAAAAGTTTCAGCAAACATGACAAAAAGTTATTTTTATAAGATGTACCTACTGCAGCTTTAAAGGTGTAAGGACTTGACTAAACCTGTCAATGTGCACAGCCACACTGCAGTGTCTTTCATTCTTGAATTCAAAAGAATCAATATATGGATGAATTGATTAAAACAGGTCTCAGTCACACTTATTATATGCAGTTATTTAGATTTAACTGTAAAACTATGATTTGTTTGAAATAATGACATCACATTATGAACATTAGGGGAAGTTCACTAATCTGAGATCACACTGCAAGATACGGTTTAATCAACACCTGCTTTATCAACACTGAGATAAACATGGAAAACACTACTGATAACTAGAGACTTGTAGCTCTGTATTAAGTAATTGCCTCAGTCCAATCGCAATTAATATTGCTACTGTGGTCAAAGGTTTTTGGAATATTTGAGAGAGCAGTATCAATGATTCATAATTCAAGGACCATACTAATTCGTTTCTTCAGTGCAATTCACGATGCCGGTGCAAAAAAAGTATCTCTGTTGAGAGCTGCACAGGTGCAGTACTGATCGGGCACTTGCGAGAAACAAGAGACTGGTTGGGTGGTGTTGGAGCATGTGGGGAAAACTCCAAATATGTGTTCCTCAGTTTGCCACAAATTTGAGAGCAAGGTGGAGGTCGTTTTTCCAAGTTTCCAAATAACTTTAGTCTTTATTGTGAGTTGATTAATAATAAAACAATTTGTACAGGGGCAAAAAAAAAAGGACTTTGGGCAAGTAGTTTTCTCACCCACTTAGTCAAAACAAACATTAACATTGCCCCCTGTGAAACAATGTAGCTGGAAGTCACATTTATTGAAATCATTATCTAAGTGAGAAATTGCTCTTTGCTTTTCTAAGGAATGTTATGGTTCAATTTTTGTATGTTGTATCAGACTCAGAATATCTGCTCTGCACTATAAAAACAGACAATGTCTTTACTGTGATGTATGAACTATTCCCTGTGATCTGACTGGCTGTAAATGTAAATTTCAAGGTCTTTGCCATTTTAATACCATAAATACATAAATAGTTTTTAAATAAAAAACTAAATTAAGTTTTTGACATCTTTCACTATTGCTGGTGTTAAGACTTTTAGAAGGTTGGTCAACTCAGTTAAAATGGTTAAAATACCCTATGCTCCACACTGTCAAACCAAAATGCATTCAAAAACAGCTGTTTTATGGTAGGATCATATTTTTTCACAGTTAAATCTTTATTTACACCATCACGGAGACTCTTCAATCTACAGTTACAATCAGCACACATGTCATTTACTCAATAATGTCATTAACTAACCTGTGAAGGTTTGCCACAGACGGACACAAACTGACTGTCCAGGTCCCTCAGTTAACAGATCTCTTCTTTTACTGGTCTTCGCTCTTTTGGGAAGTAAAGAAAATCGTAAATTGGGTTTTTATTGTTTGATCTGCAAAATGCCACGCAGCAGCTTTTAGGCATGGTGCCAGCAGGCAATTTTACAGCGCTTGTTTCACCCAAAAGTGCTCGTTCTGAAGAGAGGAAAGCGATGTATTACTGCTCTCAATTATTGTATCTTTTGCTCCATTGATGTGCATGCTTGTGTTTGCTTGCTAACATTTATGCTTTGTGCGTGTGTTTCCAGGTGTATCTGAGCTATAACAATGTTTCGGCTCTAAAGATGTTGGCTGCTAGAAACAACTGGCGCCTCAGTTCTGAGAAGGACAAGGTATCTGCTGTCCTCTCCTTGAAAGGGTTTTGCATAGAAGTGTTTTTTATATTCCCCTGTGAGGAGCTGGATGTTCCATGTGACTCTTTGTTCCCAGGTTCGTCTTTACACCCTGGAGCAGAAGTCCATGTTGAGTTTCAGGGTGGAATCAGAGGTGGATGTTCCTGCTCACAGAGCCTTTTGTCTGCTGGCTGAGCTGGGCAACAGGCCGAGCTGGGACAGACATTATCAGTAATGTCTTCACACACACACACACTCACGCTCACACTGTGTAAAAGATCAATTCAAGTTCAGCAAACTATATCCTCACTGCATGTGTAAAGGTCAGGGTATATTGTACGACCGATTTTGCAGATTGAAGGTCCTGAAATGTTTGCTGCCAAACACAACACGTAAAGGACACATGCACAACCACATGATATAGATAGATTTTAGTTTAGAAGTTTCTTGAAGTATAGCGGAATGCCATTACCATTGCAGTGACACCATGTAGGTAATTGTGCTCCTTAATTATTGTCTCACAATTATCTTCATGTGACATTAAAAGCTCTATGTTAGCTCAGTGGGTAGAGCTGGCGACCCATGTACCAAGGCTGAGTCCTTGCTGTAGCGGCCCAGGGTTCGAATCCGACCTGTTGTCCTTTGCTGCATGTCATCCCCTCTATCTAATAAAGGCAATAAATGCCAAAAAAAAAACTTTAAAAAAAAAAAAAAAAAGCTCTATGTTAAATTAAAAGGCGATGAAGGCAGTGCTGAGCAGTAATGCTACATGTACATAAACTCATGAGGAAGGTTTATACCAAAGGCATGTAGCACCATTTTCTTATTGCAGACTTCTTCAATGGCAGCCCAACTGACTGTTGGTAAAAAAAAATAATCTCAAATGTACCTGTGTACTACTATTTTTGTAGTTTTTGTGATAATAATCCAAGTTTCTTATTTAGTGGTAACCATGTGAAAAGGTCTCTTTTTGACTGTTTCACCTAGCCACAATTTAATCTGAACTAAATTAAACAAATCATGGACTTTAGTCTGGATTTCTGGCAGGCAGCTATAAGAGTGTGGCCAAATAGAAACACAGGTCACACTGAAAAGCAATTCATACATATTGCTTTTTGTCTGGGTTGAGCTATGTTCAGCAGTCAGGCAGCTGTGTCCAGCCAAGAAATAGTCTGGGACGAAACCCCTTATAAAACCATGCTCTTTTCAGGGTCTTAAAGTCTAAAATCCATCCAAATCTGATTATAGACCTTAAAATGTCTTATAATGATTTTGACTGCTTTTAAAAACTGATTGGATTAATAAAGTTAACATTACTTTTAAGTTCCATTTTTCAGTTTCACTTTTAAATGTGTTTTTGGGATGAGAGTAGTATCAATCTTCAACAATGTAGTCAACATTCCTTCACTTTATTTCAAATAAACTGCATTTGTATCAACATCCTCAGCAGCGGTATCTCTCCGTGTGCTTTCCTAAATCAGGAAATGCGAGCTCATTCACAGAGTGGACGATGATGACTTCCTGTATCGTGTGGTGACTCCATCAGTGCATCGCCGTGGAGTAGGTTCCCCTACTTCAGCCAGTCAGGGAGAGGGAATTCTCCAGGACTTTATCTTGTTGGCCTCCAAGAGGAAGCCGTGTGGCAGCGGGTCAGTAGAGTGATGGGTTGGATGAACTGTGCCAGTTCAAAGGTCACACAGCTCTTTCCTGCTGTATTTACTGTCGGTACTTGCTCTTTTCCTCCCCAGAGATCCATACGTCATCGCCCTGCGTTCGGTGTCCCTGCCCACTCACCCTCCCACTGAAGGATATAACCGAGGAGAGGTTCTGTGTGCTGGATTTACCATACTGGAGACCAAAAACAACATGTCACTGGTAAGACAAATACCGGTTTTAGCCGATTAAACGTGCATTTGTACATATAATCCTAACACTTTCATTACTTGTATCTTTTTCCAGATCAGTTACTATAACCAGGCGTCTCCAGAGGTTCTTCCCTACATCTCCACAGATATCGCTGGCCTCTCCTCCTCTTTCTACCACACCTTCTGCTCCTGCAGCCAGTACCTGACAAAGAACAAAGAGCAGTCCAGTCAGTACCAGGCCACGGACACAGACAGTCCCACCTGTGACAGTGAAGCTGACAGTCTGTCGGTGGCCCTGTGCAGCAGCCACCTGTAGACCACCAGCGGTACCTTCCAGGCCAGTTTACATCAAGTAAAATACATTAAGTGTGGTGAGGTCACGCTGCTGTTTATACAACATGGTACTAATAACACTGTCAAAAGTCTTCAAAAGATGATAAATGAAAGGTTCTGGAAAGGGTTTTAAAGATTACAATAAAGTAAGTAAGAGACTAGGGCTGGGTGTCTTTCAAAAAAATGTACGATACGGTTTCTGAAAGTTTTTTTCTATACTAATTTTATTATACATTACATTGCAATTACTCACTTCAAAGGAGGAGGCTGTTCAAAGAGCTGAGAGCAGCTGGAGAAACTGTTATCACTCCACGTGGATAACTGATAACTGTTTCCTGTGTAAAGTTAGACAGCCAATCACTAGCATTATCAGATCTTGGTACAAACGTGCAGCGTAGCTCATTGGGGCACTGATGCTGATGAGTCTTACTCCGTTCCTATCCAAATTTGGTACCGAATGACAAAGCATTTTTTGTTGTTGTTTGTATTACTCGGTAGTAACAAAGCAATTCATAAAAGTATCAAAGTTCCCAGCCCTAAAAGAAACAATGGGCCTCTAGAACCACTCATACAAACATATTTGTCTTATGTAGCTTATACAACAGATTTAGAAGAACTGGCACAAATCACCTTGTCTCTTATTCCAAATTTTCTGGACCACTCGTAGGAGTCATGTCCAATTTGTCTGCTGTCATCCAAACACAGGTTTTTCACTAAAGCACTGTACAGTATAATATATGTGCATAACTGTAAGGAAATTGTGAGTTTGGTATTTAAATTACACTTAATAATAATAACTAATTACATGGACATAATCCGGTTTGCCTGTACAGTTGGAATTATGATATAGTTTTAAATTTGTCGTATAGCCTAACAGTATCATCATGAATTTAAATCGGCTATTGATGGGGTTAGAGTTCTCTTCACTTTAAGGTGTATGGAGGTCCCTGTCCAATTGTCAGGCATTGCACTATGGTACACACACTACACACTACTGTGTGATGCAGACTTCCCCACGGCCCTCTCCCGTTGCAGTTATCATTCGCCTTGCTTTTCATATCAAACAACTTCTTCTTTATTTTAGCAACAGTACAACCCTCAGGTGACACGGCATTAACAGCAAGTCCTTTTAATTCTACTGCTGACGCTGTTAAAAATTACAGTGCTTGCAGTTGTTGTTGTTGTTGTCCGAGAGCAGGACTTCAATCCCCAAGCTCTTAATGTTCTTTTTAGTCTTCCGTACCATTTTCATGAATGAACTTCCTCATACATGGTGCAGGCTTGTAGCCTAATATGGTTTCAATTTTGCTGAATGCGCCTTCCATTGCACACAGGTGATTTACACAGAAATCTGAAGTTAGGAGCGTTTGACACATACAACCCACCCGTACGAAAAAAAGTAAGACACACAAGATGAAAATACGAAAATGTTCTTGCATGAGGCCCAATGCCTTCAACACTGTATGTGTTCACACTGCATCGTACGGCTCAACTCTACTCGCTTGTGGTACCTCTACTTTCCACTGCAGATAGTACTTCGATAGTACCCCATGTAGGCGCAGCTGATCATCAGTTTATAACTACTCTGTACATTTACTGCTAGATGGACAACTCCACTGCTCTCTTTTCGTTTGCACTGCTCACATTCACCGCTCTTTCTCTCTTGTTCAATCACACACTTACTACACACATAAAAAGGAGCTCTTATAACAGAGAATATAAAGGGATGGTGTTCTTGATACGTGTGCACTCTGTCAGTTGATCTACGCATAGTTTAACAGGCTGCCATTATTGTGTAAATGCTAGCTTGCCCTATTAATGCACCATTTACATGTTCAACCAGAATCACATGAAAGACATAGACCTGATTTCAAAATAAAGGCTAATTCAGCATTAATTATTATGTTTGGAAAACAAATGATGCATTCTAATCTGTGTCACCAGTAGTTAGTTAAACAGATGTTTTATGTTAAACGGTAAACGTTAATTTAATTGTAAATCTAACCAAGTGTGGGGTCTATGGGAATGTAGGGTTTATTTTCATAAACACTAACAGCATTAAATGGTGAGAGAACAGCAATGCGCACAATGTTACAAATTCCATTTGATGAACCATTGATGTTTTGTTTAACACTTTCATAGGATTTTAATAAAAAGTTTTTTGTACAGAATATATATGTCTGTGTTCCTTCCAATCAGAATTCAATGGTAAACTACAAAATATAATTGTATTAAGCCACCTAATGTAGTCCATCACTTTGCTCTAGACTGAAATATTTTGGCAACTACTGGTGGTGAAATCTTGTGCAGACATTCATGGTCCCCTCTGCCTTTTCATCTCATCTCACCATCAGCACCATTAGTTTTTACATTTTTTATTCAGTGGAGTATCTCAACATTTGTTTGATGGATTGGCACCAAATTTGGTAAAGACATTAATGTTTCCCACAGGATGAATCCTACTGACTTAAGTGGTCCCCCAGCTTTTCCTCTACCGCTATAATGAGGTTGACATTTTTCGTTTTTATAGAGCTATGTAACTATTAGATGGATTACTTTGAAATTTGGGTCTGATATTCATGGTTCCCAGATCATATATTGTAAACTTTATCTCTTGACCTTTTATCTAGAGCCATCACGAGGTCAACATTTCCGCTTGCTGGGCACCCGGTTAGCTTAGTCGGTAGAGCTGCCGACCCATGTACTGAGACTGAGTCCTTGCTGCAGCGAAAAAAATAATAATACTTGCTTGCTTTATAACCACATACCTACAAAACTAATGACCTTCCCATCATCATTCAGAGAACCAGGGTTATAGAATGTTAGCCTAGGTTTTATTTCATTTCAGTGCAAGACATGACAACTTAGGCACTCTTTATGGACCATAAGCCAATAAGCTGATTGCATTAGTGCTCCAATACATCAGTCAGGCTCTGGTTGATTATAACATCCTAAATGTTGCACTGTAAAAATTAACAATTTGTTGTGTCACTGAAGATTTCATATCTATACACTTTAAATAAAGAGGAAAAATATTCCTTTTGAGTGCAGTATAGTGATTAAGGATTGTTAATATCCATCCTCAGTTTATTGATCAGATATCACATACAGGTTTGTGTTTACTTTGCTTGAACGCTGGGTCATTAGCCCTGCGAAGACAGCGAAATCTCTCCTTTTTAGGTCCCCCTCCACTATAAGGTCATATCTGTCCATCATTCTCATTAAAGAGTGAAGTGCCTCCTGTCCTTTTGCCAGTGGTGCTGTGTTCAGATGTAGAGCCACTCGCTGAGACAAGCAGGTCACTGTCGCTGGAATCAGAGGATGCCAGTTCTGCTCTGTCAGGACGAGGGTGACGTAAGGGAACAGCCTCTCTACTGCAGATACAAACTCCTGAAAGAGAGAGGAGGAGGTTACAACAAAGGGTTAACACTTCTGTACTGTGTGGAATCGAAGCACAATTAAAAGCACCTAAAAAAGTACGTAATACTTGAATGATGGTACTGTACGGTATCCGTTATAATCTATTGTATGTTGGCCTGATAATAACCTCATCTGACAAAAAGGAAGGTCCTACAGTGTTCTTGCAAGTTTGAGTTTCTTAACTGCAAACCATATACATATATGATGTTGTTCTCAAGGGGGTAAAGGGAGTCAGGACATCAGGATCAACAGGTATGAAAAGCTTTGTGTCATCTGTAGTGCAGTGAAAAGCAATGTGCTTATGGAGGATGACCCTTAGTGTTAACAGACTGAACAGTAGTAGATCCAGAACAGAACCTTGTGGCACTCCATATGCAATGTCTATTATTTCTGATAAATAAAACAACATTATTTGCCATTGTGATTTAACGTATCTATAATTGAAGTAATTGGTATCAGCTTTGACCCTGAATACTGGATTTGTTCATTTCTAATGGCTGAATAGAGAAATCTTACCAGTGCGCTGTGACAGGATTTGAATGAAACCTGCCATATGGTTCTTAAGAAGCTGCTAACACATCTTTTATACTCTTAATGTTGTGGGAAAAACTGACGTCTGGTATAAAATCTGTAGAAATTCAAGTATCGTGTATCTAAAACCAATGTTGGAGAAAGCAAATCAGTGAGACAGGAAGCTGCATACCTTTGTGTTGTCAGTGCTCTGCAAGCCCTCCATGCTGATCCAGACAGGCCTGTACAGCTCCTCCCTACTGTAGGCTGAGTGCAGCAGTTTGAGAGAAGCTTCCAGAAGCTGCTGAGTGTGAATCCGCAGGTAAACACCTAAGGGGACATCAGCTCTCTGCCCGAGCAGCTGCAGGACGTCCTGCCAACACAGATAGCCTTATTTATCCACATGCACATTTGTGGTGTTTAAGTCAATGACGCAGCAGAGAAAATAGAAATACATGAGCTGCACAAAACTACTAATAAGACGACAAAAATGCAAAGGAAGACACTAGCTCAGTTTTTGCTATGTGATTAAACAAGTCCACTGAGCTCACAGAGTTTTGTTAATGTCATTTGCTAACCTCTAAAATGTGGAGTAATTTGAGTTCTAGATATAAATTACATTTCCAGAGCCACCACCATGTTTTTCTGTATTGGAATTCCAAAGCAAAGACCTGTTTTCCATTAATGTACCTGCAGTGTGAGGGCTTCTGAGCTCTTTCCAGAACCTTCCACCAGAGGGACTCCAGGCTGGTTGCTGTCCGAAGCCACCCGGACCACCAACATACCAGCAGCACGATCTGGACACACACAGACGTAATAAACATGACTGTAAAGGCGAACAGGATTACTGCTTCACTAGCGTCACTTTATGGGTCAAAAGACCAACAGTGTCTATAAGTTCACATCTGTTTGACACTATCAGGATTTCACGACTGAACTCATTGAAGCAATGCAGATACAAGTTCCCGCTTTCACAGCAAACTAACCACTTCACTGTCAACCACAACACATGGGAAAGAAATTAATTTGCTTTATTTGAAGATTTAAGGAAATCTGAGTTATCATGTTTTTAATCATGTACCATGATTAGCTTTTCATCACTTTTATGACACAAATATTTTTTATGTGAAAACTGCCTAACTTGCTTTGTATTTTAAAACCACTTTCAATTTTGTTATTATGATTATGGCACCTACAAATGATGGTATTCTAGTGGCACAAGTTTTTGTGTTTCAGTGCTTGCTACTACCACCAGATGGCCCTACAGTAAGGCATTTACAGACTTACTGGTGACTGAGAAAATGCATTGATGAAGCATTTCTGCATAGCAAAACAGCCTGCTATCATTACAGAATTTTTTCTTTGAGTGAAAATACAGAGTGATGAAAGTGAATGTCTCAATGTCTAAATAAGAAACTGTGCAAAATAGCAGTTTTTTATATCTACATACCTGAAAGCTGAACCAACAGGGAGGTCCTGTCAGTGACTGTAAACCAATGGACTGCCAGGCTGTTGCGTTGTGAGACTGCAGACTTGAAGCTGGTGTCTGACTTGTGAAGTGGATAGAGGAAGTCCATCAGGTCTCCTCCAGGATAGAATCTCCTCAGATGGCCCTGCTTCCCTGTCGACAGAATCTATACATCAATAAGTAATAATGGCTGCTGTGAAAAATTAATCACCGACATAGCAGCAACATTTAAGATAAAAGTGTCCACCAAAGCCATATTATTCATGGGCCCTGCAGGGAGGTAAATTACTTCATGCCAAATTTGTTGTTTGTTTCTGTGTTTTTTTGATCACTGCAGCACAATTTGCCCACTTGGGACAAATATTAAACTAACTGAATTAAATTTAATTGAACTGATAATTTTCAAACTGATTTATGAATCCATGAATTCAAAGTGTACCTCTTTATGAGCAATGCAAGTCATTTTCAAAATCAAATTCAAATAAGAAATCAAGTGTGCAATATTCAAAAATCTATAACTAAGTTGCTTAAAGTGAATTGGTTATTTTTGCATCCAAAAATTCAAGTCAAGTAAAAAAATTAAGTTCCTCAAATTGGATTTGTGGAATACATCAAAATTGAAAATGGAAAACTGAAACATCCAGGCTACCAGGGATAATCAATCGATAATAAATCAGATTCCGGTCTTATCAGTATACCTTCTGTCAGCTATCATCCAAACAGAAAAGTTCAGATGAGCGACTGGAAACTCTGGATGCTCGAATCAGAATCTTTTTTAGTTTGGCTTCAGTTTAGGCTCAAATGAAGTTTTTGCTACAGTAATGCAAATCCTAAATCGTACATTTGTTTGTACTAAAATGTATTATTTATTAATTTTTCTAAATTATATATATTATTGTATTAAACAAATGAAAAAGTATAAATGAGACACAGCAGGTAGGCCTACACAAAATACAGTTAAATGTTTGGTTTGAATAGTTTTTTTGCATGTATTTCTTTGAATGAGGTTTAGCTTGAAGGTTTATTCTCCTTCCTTACTTGCAGCCTGTTTAAATTCAGACAGCGTTGGTTCATATATATCGTAGTAGACTCTAGCAGGGTGGGTGTTGTCACGGACAAACAGCAGGTCAGAGATGTTTGGGTGAATGTCACCCTGCCATAGTGTCAGACTGAACCTGCAAAAAAAAAAAAAAGTAAACAAATTAATCTGGGTTTGGACATTAGGGATGGGTCAATATACAATATTATTGCATATTGCGATAAAAAACACTCGAATTTCCATTATTGTGATAATTGGGATAATCGATTATTATTATTATCACATATAACTTGACTTGAAAAAGCTGTCTAGCTCTCGAGCATATATTCCTATATTGATTTCCTGATTTATTTTGAACATTTTTCCAGTCATTCCAAATTTCTCATCCTATCACCATGGCTGATTGCATTTATTTTGGCCAAGATAATTGTGACATATAATTTTCATATCGTCCCATGCCTAGTGGACATGTCAGGAATGCCTGTTTTGACAGTCTGAGGAGTGAGTCCTTCTTATTGATATATGATTGATTTGTAGTCATTGCCATAAAACAGATGGAAGTTGTCTGAGTTACCGTGGTGACTGGCTGAGGAGCCAGCTGATGTGCTGCCAGCCACTGCGAACCAACAGGGCGTGGATTGGGAATGTCACCTAAAGAGACACATTATTCCTAAAGGTGCCATATTGTAGAATGTAAGCTTTTCATGTGAGTATTAAGCAGGTCTACAGTAGGTGCTATATAAATACTGTGAAAGTATCAAAATGCTTAATCCTAGACACTACTGTGATTTCTGTTTCAGTTGTGAGAGAGCAGTTGATACAGTTTTTTGAATTAACTCTGGTAGCAAACAGTAAGTGGCCGAGCTAGGAAGCCCTGTCTTGTCTACGTACATTCACCCTGCGAACCTTAGCACACCATTCTGATTTATTTCTCAGATCAGGTCACAGTCCAAAACTGATCTGCTTGATGAATGTACATGTAGAGTGATTAAAAGTCTTATGAATTCTGATGAGACTGTTCTTACTGAGGTCACATTGGCCACATATGAAAGTGGCCCAAATCAGAATCACAAAGATCAGATTCAACATGATTTGGACTGTTCACTATGAGTAAAAAAAAAAATCTGGGGTCACTTCCTGCTCCTTTGTGAATGGATCTTGCTGTTCGGATTTCACCAGGGTCGAAGACTAATTCAGACTCAGATACTTGGTAACACTGGATTAGCTCTTCATCCACTGTTATTTTATGCATGTCTTTCAAAAGCTTACCATTTGGGGAACATCTTTGATCATATCATACATGTCGTCCATCATGGGCTTGGTGTAGGTTTTAATGAAAATTGGAGGAAGATAGAGTACCTGTCAGAAATAATGCAGCTGTAAATCAAAAGCATTCATCATCACCAACAGGACTAGTCTACAGCTGAGCTAGCAGTCACATGTAATGCTCATTTTACATGAAATAATATAATTGTTGGATGCGTCCCTGAAAAATAGAGACATAGATCAACATTTTCCATTCCTTTGGTTATGACCAAATACTGATGGTATTCCAGTTAACCTCAGCTGTACTTTGTGTTTATTGCTAATTAGTAAATATTGGTATATGTTAGCATGCTTAATGGTTAACATGGTTAACAATATACCTGCAAAACAGCAGGTATCAATCAAACTTGTTTCTAACCAACTCAGGCAGAAAATGCCTCTTATCCGACTCATGACGTAAAAACCTAAATTTCTAAAGTCCTAACTACATTCCTGTCTTTGACTCTGAGCAATATGTAAGAACTGAGACTACTCTCCATCAGTCACATGCATACTTCATTATAGTCTGCCAACCAAGAGAGAGCCTCATTGTTGCTAAACAGCAGAATGGGCACCAGAGCCCAAGTACTACAGTGATTCCTAATCAGGCTGTAAGCATGTAATACCTTCCATCCAGGAGACAATGTCACATCTGGAAACTTCTCCTGAATCAACTGCAGAAATCTGGAAAAGGAAGGAGAGAAATGTACTTTAAGTTATGATGGAGCAGTGAATAATGATAATGCGATACTTATTTTATTTACATTGTTTGCCTGCTACAATTCATCCTTTCTTTCATTTCTATTCTACCTTTTCTTGTATGCTATTATTTGCGGTGGCATTTTCTTGATCTCCCATAGTTGATTATCAATATATCTAATTTGGAAATGTGGCAATCATTTTTTGGCTTGTGAATAGCAAAGAACTGCAGGAGAAAACACATCAAATTCAGGCTCGTTCACCTGGTTCCATTGATTACGGGCACGGTGTTATGTACGTTGGGACCGTGGATGATGTCTGCATTTAACCACACAGGCCTGTTTATTCCTCTGCTTATGTTCTTTTGACCAAGCAGGTCCAGTGACAAACCCACGGCTTCCAGATACTTAAAATCCAACTTCATGGCTGCAGGGAGACACAGAGCATTAAAATGTACTTTGTTGGACGGACAAACAGAAAGATAACTCTTCTACTCTACGGTACCTTTTCTAGAGGCCAGCACAGCATCCAACCATTGGTCCAGGGTGTTGTCACTGTAGATGTCAGGAGGGTGGGCCATGATAGGGATTGGCTTCTGACTAGGTGTTCCTTGACCCTGCAGAGTGACATCAGACTCCAGGATCATAGCACCACCTGAGGGCACGAGAGTGGGTTACAGTTTTGTCCATTCATGAATTTACTCACTGTTACAGGTGAGTGCTATCCTTTCGACATCAATAACTCCACTGTCACCACATTAGTCAGAAGAGCTGCTGGGACTCTGTGTGTGTGAGTGTTTGGGAGTTTACTTGCGAGAGCTTTGTTCATTTCGTCCTTGCTATTGGCTCTGTGAAACCAGGTAGCCGGCAGGCCATCGGGTTCGCTGATTTCACCCGACTGAATCAGGAAGTCCAACATGTCTCCACCAGTAGAAAACGAGGGAAGAGCAGCTGAGGAACCGGATTGAGACAGGCACGTTTAAGTGTTGGACAATAAAAACAGGGGGCTTGAATGATATTCATAGAAAATCAGATACAGCAGGGAATAGATAATATTGATATATTAATAGTCATCTGTTTGATATGGTTTAGTATCAGTTTACTATTTCAATTCCCATTTTTTTTATTGTGGTAGCACTTCAATTATTGTTTTTGCCTGATTTTTTTTTCCTTTAAGTACTTCCAAGGAAAAAAACCTACCCAAAAAATAAAAATAATTACTTACAATACTACTATAATACAATATATAATACAATAATTATTAAAATAGTGTTTGTCTTTAGCCAGTGCTAATGTCATGTTCAGGTAATGTTAGCCTTGAGGTGAACACTGGTCAGCTAATGCTAGCCAGCTTAGTTTTTTTTTTTTTTGCCAGCAACAACAAATGGAAAAAATGACTTCACAATTTCATCAAACTTAGTCCAGCGGCAGAAATGACATAGATAGAGCAGAATGTAAACTCCGCCCTAAATCCCCAGAAAGAGCACAAAGGCTAGGCCTCAGTGTCCTTGGCAACAGCATACAGATACTTGATCAGTCAGTCTTAGCTGGTGTTATCAAGTCTATTCATACTGATAAACTCAAGTACAAGTGCATATAAAAAGTGTTCATTCCATGGTTTATTATTTTACAACGTTCATTACATTAATTATAACACTGAACAATTCACAGTGACCTCCGGTACTCTTATTCAACATCGCCTGATATTAAGCAAACACAGCTGCTGGTCTCTACAGGCCGTTGATCCTTTCTGTTAGTCAGGTTCTGCAGCACTCACTCACCTCAGCACAGGGGACAGAACACAAGTCTACCTCCTGGAGTAATTGAACTGAAACTCACTCGTAGAGCTTGTATCATTTCCTCTAAACTCAAAAAAGGGTCACAAGCTGGTGATGGCTAAGTGGGTCTTTTAATATAGCCCACATCAAACGGACGGTTTCATTATGGGCGTAATTGTAACTGTCAACAACACAACATCCCTGCAATGTGCCTGTTTGTTCTATGCTGGATCCCATCCAGACCTGTACACTTACTTTATTGCAGCGCCATTTCTAATTTCTAAATATACTATGGTTACACAACTACAAATTACAAATACTGTATTTAAATGAAATGTGAACAGTATTACTTCAGTGGTAGAATCGTTTAGAATTTTTTTTTTATGTGGTTCAGACAGACTATCACAAACTCTACTACTATATATGGTTATGTATCTGAATCCGATACCACATACAATATGTGCATTGGGTCTCATTCACAAATCTGTCCTTAAAAACACAAATCAGGGATTCATCAATATTTTCTTACCTGAATTTGTTCACAGGAAGCATACATCTGCTCATGGATGAGAGGCTTGTGCTCGTACCCGTGCTTTAATGTTAGCTTACCTAGCATCACTGAGATTGATAACATTCAGCTACAGTTGGCGCGTGTAGTTCTGTATTTCTGTGGATTATCTTGAGTAACTTTCTTGAGCTTTGTGCACCACAACCCGAGTGTCATCTGGTTCCATCATATTGGAATGAAGGCAGATACTGTATATCTAGGGTGGATATCTCCAGAACTCAGTCACTAATGCCAAAACAATCTAGATGGATAAATAGCACTAATTTTGATTTTGGATGAATTGACCCTTTAAGGGGTTTGTACACGCTGAAATTGATGTAGGACACCTTATCTCTGATAATTCACTCTGACTAAAAGGGCAAAATCAATGAAGCACTCTAATGAATCAGGTTTATCACATATCTGTAAGAATGTACCTGACTTTTTAGTGAGCACCACAGCTGGAACAATAATGATGATCAGCAGGACAACAAGTCCAACAGCCGCAGATATCATTATCAGTTGTTGTTTTGTCAGAAAGCCCAGATAAAGGTCTTCTTGTCTTTTTTGTCCTGATTCCCGACCTTGAATGTTAGGCTGAGGCCTCAACCTAGAGGAACACAGGAAAACATACAAGGTGTGATCACACGTCGGTCTGTGCATCGTCATGCATCTATCATATGAACATTTAGGAGAAATATTCTGCAGTATCCTCAGGTGTGATTTGTTCAAGGACACAAATTTAAAATAAGTTTTAAATATAGTGAAATTCTCACAAGCTCATTTTTAGCGTTGTATGTACAGCTTGATAGATGAGAAAAGAAATTGTATTAATGTCTGTCACTGACCTATTTTGCCTTTCTTCTGCCTCTCTTTGATTTTCCTCTCTTTCGTCCATTTTCTTTTGTGTGGTCTTTCACTGTCCCAAGGATTAAAAAATGAAGTCTTTATAAAGAGCTGCAGAACAATACACAGGCCAACCCGACAGACAGATGGTTGGCAGTTTTTCCTGTGGTATATATGTGCCTTATCTAAAGAGCAGAGATCACAGGGATCTGATAAGGTGCACATGTTCTCTTCAGTTTATATTCTACTCTCTCAGCCCTGTCAGATCCACTGAGAACTCTGCTCTAAGTGCAAGAATACAGCGAGTAGAAAACACAGGACAGAGTGTGTCCCTTTTGTACCTTTGGCTTGAATGTCCCTTCAGTTAAAGTTTAAGTTTTTTACCCCATTTAAAGCTGCATCTTTATAAAAAGTGTTTGTCATATTTGCTGAAACTATTCACCATTCAGGCTTCAGCCATAATCATAAAAATATGAGTTACTAAAATAAGAGATATGTCATAAAGTTTTACCACATTCTGCCACTTGTCAAAACAACTGATAGACAGATAGATAGATAGATCTTAAGCAAGTAGGTAGAAGGAGGTGAACTGATGTTATCTGTGATTTTTTTGTTACACCAGTGACATGACTCCAGGGGACCACTACTTTCATTATACATTTTATAATATAAAACATAAACATTTATTTAACAAATTAATGTTTGAAGTAGGTGTAATTGTTCAAATAATGTATTGCTTTATTTAAATATATATATATATATATATATATATATATATATATATATATATATATATATATATTTTAATAAATAAATTGTAATACTAAAGTGTTTTTCCAGTGTAATATTTCTGTAAAGGCTAGGGACAGAAAAGTGAACTTGAATGACCCAACTAACATCATCACAAATGAATACAATAGGGTTCATTTAATCCACAAGAGTCTGAGCTTTCAGTTATTCCCAATTTATGCAACTCCAGTACTGTTTAAGGACCCCAGTATCAACATTTTAGTACACGAGGGGAAAATTATACTTTTATACTGCATGCAACAACAACAAAAAAAATGCATGGGAAAATGGTTTATTTGTATAGTAACTTACATCCACAGGTGCAAATTCAATGATTCAAACCATTTTTTCCTGTTTTTAAGAATGATCCTAATGATTATATTGGTGCCATAAAATAATTAAAGAACTCTAAATCAGGACTGATATCGTAGCTTCCTTTAATAAAACTGATGCTAGGATGTTTGACTATAGATGTTTATTATTTCCCTCCATTTTTGCCTTGTGTTGTTGATGTTATATTTTGTGTTATATAATGTATGTACTGTATATGATACAGTCTTTAATAAAGTGTTTAAAATAATATTTGTATTTGTGAAAGTTTTACTTTTCATTTTTTCTTAATTTATTTTAAGTAATAAAAATAAGAATAAGAATACGAATAGTATTATTAGCAGTAGTAGTATTTGAGGGCATGGGCCATATTTTGATGTCAATAATATACAATAATGTCTACATATCAATCACATATATGATGTAACGTTAGATGACATAAATAAAATGCCAATGGTAAAATATATATAAGCCGTATATAAGTGGCAGAATGTGGTAAATCTTTATTACTATTATTATTTTCCTATTAATCTGTATATACATATATTTTACATTTGCTTTGGCAGTGTAAACGTCTGCTTCACGTGCCAATAAAGCCCCTTCTACAGCAGGGGCGCGTGGCGTCGCGTTGCTATGGCAACTGAGTAGAGAAGACACACACAACAGCGCTACAACAATGTCTTCTGTGGCTAAAGAGGAAAGGCAGAAGAGACGTACTCTGGTGCTGAGGCCGTAAGTTGACATTTTATTCACAGCAAGTCGTTTGCACAAACAAACAACAGCCATTCTAACGTGAACTGTTTTGCTAATGTGTTCTTTTGCTGCCTTCTTAGCTCCTCTCGGACCATCAATGTTTCAGTGTCGGGCATACATGGAGTCAACCAAAGTACAAGATACTCAAACGGCGTCGTCGGTTCACCGAGCAGAAAAAGTTTCAGCCTGGGCGGTGGAAGCAAACTCCTGGAGAAGAGCGTCGTTCAGACTCCGAGACAAGCTGCTCGGGTATGCTTATGTGTTAGCACTGATGTTGTAACGTTAAGTTAGGAAGGTGGCTAGCTGTCACCCGTGTTAACTAACGTCAATGATTTCGGTCGAATGCGTCGGCGGTTGCCATGGTTATGTGATATGATATGATAAGCAGAGCAGCTAGCGTCTTATGGAATGGAGCCTTAATTAGTATCATTGGTAACACCCAGTGCTGAGCAGTGTGTTTACTCTTAATTTATGCCCCAAATTTTATTTTAAAGTGGCCTGTGCAGTTTTTTTTGTATTCTTTATTCCTTACTCCATCCACTCATGAAAACTGGACATCTGTGTCAGCCTTCAGCTCACACTATTGAATGATGTGCAGCAGAGGGAAGAAGTTGGTATTCCCAGTGCCGACTGAAAAATATGTGGGTACTTTCTTTACCTGCATGTACCCTGTACTACACCACTGATAACACCTGTGTTTACCCTGCTATTTAATGTCAGAATGGCAGCTGTGAAAAACGGTTTATTTAACTTACATAAATGTTTATTATTGCCTTATTATATCCTCTCAATGGCCACCTTGCTCCTGAGAAACACCATATGAAGACACTTCTCAGAGGACAGGTCCATGTTTTGTTCATGATTTCAACAGCTGCTGTCACTATAAGCAACCATTCGGCCAAAAAGGCACCAGTCATGTAATATATGTCATATAATTATATTTAGTATTATGTACTATGATCTGTCAATTGATTTCGGGAAGAAGATACAGTACACTCCAACTACAGGTACAATAAACTACAGGTTATGAACTTCTTGTTCATTGGTTATCTCATCTGTATTGGCCATGAGAAGTAGGTAATTACTGGTTATCATATTGGCTGAAAAAGAACTCCTTATAGTGCATCCCTACCTGCAGTGAGAGGGGCCTGAGGACTGGTCTGAAGAAGGAGGTCTGGGCAGAGCTGGTGCAGTTGGACCCTTTGTTTTGAATTATTCGCTTGTTTGCAGGTGTTCGATGAAGAAGGCAATGACGTCACTCCTCAGGTGTTGTACCAGGCAGATCCAGCAGCTGTGCAGGCTAAAGCCAGCAGGTTCTTTATGGATGAAATATCTGCTGGTGGATCAGCATCAGACCAGACAACAACCACTGGGAGCTTCACAATGCCTTTCTCCAGGTACCATTCTATTACACCAGCTGAACTGGTGGGGAGACAGCTGAAGCTGATCTGAGATGGCACAAGGGTATGGAGTTAATGCATTAACATGTGGGAATTTAGGAAAACCACCAAAAAGGTTGTTCAGAATACGATATATGATTGTTGACCACAAGCTGCTTTGTTAAATTAAAAATCAGCATGGAGCCAATTAAATCACATACACATGGTCAAATGTATGATTTATTGATAAAAGAGACGGTGATAAGATAAGACATAAGATATGATTTGTAGCCATATGTTTTAAAAGCTTTTGTCCTTCTGTGTAGCCCATTAGGGAAGGGTTGCCACACACATTCACCTAGTAAGTTTTAGTCATTGTTTTGCAGGTCATTGTTAGGAAGCAGCAGAATATCCAGCCAGTCTACCATAGAATCTCTGAATGAAGAGATTGAGGATACATTTTCCAAACGGGACGGGATGTCCATCAACATCCCAGGTTCATTACAATATTATTTTTTTAATTCTTTCATATGTAGATACCACTATCACTCACTATTTTGATCCACTGTTTATTCCTTTTGATTATCATATTCATAATTTTTTTAGTTCCATCTTTCATGCTGGTACATGACAATAAGTTAGTTTAAATTAAACAGTTTCTTTTCTTTTGTTCACTGTCAGATGTGCAGGGGAAAAGAGACGCTATGAAAGAACTTGTGACAGAGGATATGTTGAAAGAGGTCATTGAGGTCTACATCTCTGAGACAGACAGCATTTCACTGCTGGACATACCGAGCACATTCGTGTCAGTGGATGCTCATGATGCAGAAGCTATCATGTGAGTGAAGTGTCCTGATTTTTTCAACTATTTGACAAGATCTGAAATGCGCATCAATCAGACTGGGTAGGGCTACTTCAAGGCTTCCTCTGGGAAAGTTATACCACTCCTAATCTTTTTGAACTGAAAAAAAAGACATATAAAGACAGATTGATAGTCTTCCTCTGTGGAACTATCCTGGGACACACATACGGATGCAGTGTGTGACTGTGGAATAGAACTGCATTCTATCTATTGATCAATGATTGAAAAATGTTTTCACAGAGAGAGAAACAATCAGTATGCTGAGGTTTGCAGGAACAGAATGGGCAATGATAAGTACGTGGATCGATCAATGCAGACATTGAATGGAGAAGCTAAGAATAAACAGGTCCAGAGCGACAGCATCGTCATGGTGGACACAGGTAAGTCTCATTGTTTTCCCTTGGCGTTTATGATCTGAAAGCTGGATGAATGAATTTTTCTTATGGCCACTTGGGGGCAGCAGAACAAGCTGAACGAAACACAGTTGCCAAGTTGAACATCCAGCAGACACAAGCAAGGTATGAACATTCATTTGGAGTCACGTTTCTGTCACCTAAGTCCTACTGTCCTTTTAGTTATGTTTTGGGCTTCAGAACTCCTGATAATAAAATATGGTTCTATAGCTGAAGTTCACCAGCTAGTCTCGAACTGTGTCTGTTTACTGTTTGGTGCTGGGAAGGGAGTGTACAGTGGGTTTATAAAAGCATTTTCACTGAAAACAAAGGTGATGATGATAAAAAAAAGGGAGCTAGTGTCTGTTGATACATTGTTATTACATAAATATTGATTAGTGCAGCTTTATGGTAACAGATTTAGATTTCTAAAGCTATAATAGGTTACATTTCGGCATTCAAATGTCTATAAACACTAGATCTATGTTCTATATGTAGTAGAGTGTGTTTGACTGGTCACCTGTCAGTGGCGTCATATCCCCTTTGTGCATGCGTCAGAGTTGTGGTTGTCTGCCAGAAGCTGTCATACATTGACTGTTTATTCAGTCTGAAGCCACATTTTTACCATCCACTGTTTAGATCTTGATGCTTTTCAACTCTAGATTTGAACCGGATGAAGGCTTTTAGTCATCGGACGTCTGGATCTTAAGTTATCAGAGAAACAAGCTGAGCTAACGTTAGCAACAGCTCCGCTTCTTTGTCTGCCCAACACTGGGGGAGAAACAGTGATTTTTAAGGTGGAACTGCTTTATTCAGTGTTTTTACTAGTTTTAATCACCAGATTTGTTTGTCTTGGAGAGGAGGAGACCTCTGAGGATAAATCAGCTCCCGGTAGAAACCTCCTGAATGATGACACCACTTCGTCTTTTGTTATTGCTTTAATGTGAGAGGTCACCCAGTGGTAGAAATGATATATTATATGTTTTAGGTACATAACCTTTTTAACAATACCTTTCACAATACCACTCAAGCCTCTTAACTGTCACAGAGATACAGATAATTGATAATTGCACTATAAATTAAAAGTCCCCTGTTGATTGTTTTTGACCATTACAGTATCCCAGATTAAACCAAACAAGTTTTTGCTTGAAAAAAGTGAAAAAAGTGAATTGATTATCAATTTGTAATTTGTATTTGTACCTACAAACCTAATTGTAGCACATTTTCTATGTAGATATAGACTGTTAAACACTGTTAATAGTGTTTGGCTTTTTTCAAGTGGACAATCGCTTTGATCTCCTTGTCCACAGCCGCGACTGTTACCGCCTGGGACATGTATGACACTTATATCAGCCCCGAGCAGGACGAAACAGTGTGTGTCCCTCAAGCAGAGAGGGCTGACTATCCAGAGGTTGCTGTGGACACCAGCAGAGGGGCAGAGAAGAACATGTCAGTGGGCAGTTCAACCAGTACAGGTAACAGTGAGAGACACTGGAGAGGATGCTCTGCTTTAGTTTCGATTTTATAATTCCACTCCAAATAGCCAATGATCCTTTGCAATAACTTGCATGTATAATTTCCTTGTATTCCTCTTCAGGCAGTGTTGCTAGCTCATTGAAAGAACAGGAAGCGTTGGGGAACGGTTTAAATGCTGAGTCAGAGCTGCAGTTGATCATGCTGTCAGAGAAATTCCAACACTTGTTACTTGTAACAGAGAGGAGCATACTGGGAAATGTCTTCCAACCCAAGCTGGCCGCTTACAGAGAGCTGCCCATACTGGAAGGTAAACTCAGCTCATAATCACATACATTTTCTCTTCAGAAGCACACACACACACACACACACACACACACACACTTGTGATAATGCAGATGTATTAAGATGCTTTCTGGACTGGTGTTATTTACGCCTCACACTGGTACACTACATACGTATTGCCTACCAACCATTGGTAAGGTCAGATAAAGTATAAATGGATACTATTGGATAACACGTAACCATTTGAATGAAAAAAGTAAGTATAAATGTAATGATTGTGTCAGACTCAGACATTCCAATGAAGCCTGGGACGGTGGAGCAGAGGGAGGATACAGAAAGCCCCCGACCTCCAGCTGTGGAGTGTCTCTGGGCATTCAGCTGTGAGCTCAGCAGAGGACGCAGCGTCAGCAGCATGGCCTGGAACAAGAAGTACCCGGTAACAAAGACTTACTTGCTGCCCTCTGTTCTGTCTGTACACCTGAGTCCTTTTGTCTTCTATGATGGTCTCTTCTTTGATCTGTCAGTATTGTATGTCCATTTAACAGTGTTCACTAATTATTAGCAATGTTGAAAGTATTAATCAGGTCTGCAGCATTGTTGTGGATGACAACATTTAGTTCGCCACGATCACAATGACTTTTTTGACTTAGCCCCAGCAGTGGTCAGTAGGAACTGATAACATTTTGACAGTGATCAAAGAAATATGTCAATTTAAAAGTTATTTCTGTGCTTTTTCTGTTGCATTTTTTCATGAATGTAGCTAGGCTAGCTGGCTGGCTAACTAGATATGTAAGAAGATGATGCACCAATGGAGCTGAATGGAATTTTCAGCCCCATTGTATCTTTATCTGTGTATATTTGTGGTGCTCATTTAAAAAACTGAACATGTATGTCTTGAAAGAGTAATCAGGACGTTGTTTGGAAAGATATACTACTTGAGTTTTTTCAAATGTTATTTTTCAATGCTTTGAGCAGCACAAACAAAATTTTAAGAGGTGGATATCTCTAAATCTGGACACCTAAAACTGAAACTATCTGCATGGCTAGATAGTACTAGAGGTAAGTGAGAAAGCCAGTCAATACTGTTTTAACATGCATACCATCGAAATTGTCTGACACGCAGGTACAAATGAATCATAAACGAACAAAACTGCAGGAGCTGCCCTTGTTGACATTTTTAATATATCAGCAAACATTTACTTTTTTATGGTTCTGCTTAGTCTGAGTCTAATTATTTAAAGAATTCTAAATACATAATACTGTGTAAAATATATAATAAAAAACAATGTATTATAACATAATTCTACCTAATAAAAATGTGTGCCACTTCATCTGCCAATGCTCTGCTTTCTCTGCTAGGACCTCTTGGCTGTGGGCTATGGTGAGCTTGACTCCAGTAACCAGAAACCAGGCTTGGTGTGCTGCTGGTCTCACAAAAACCCCACTGTATGACTTATTTACCTTCCAAAACCTTCATACATTGTCCTCAGAAGCATGCAGGATGTTGAGTGAGGATTTAGTTCATGTGTTTATTCCAGCTGATGTCATGTGTCCTCTCTGCAGTGGCCTGAGCGTGTCATATACTGTGACAGCGCTGTCACTTCCTTGGATTTCTCATTCAACAACCCCAGTCAGCTGGCTGTAGGCATGCAAGATGGCAGTCTCGTTATCTACAATGTGCAGAGTCGAAACCAGTTATGCGTTGTCAGCAGCAGGTGAGGACAGTGTGTGGACAGTTCAGCTCTTACATCACACACTAAAAATAATAGCTACTGGTGCTGCTCAACATTATTGCTCTTAATGTGTGTTTGGGTCACCTTGCAGTGAATGTACCAACAAGCACTTGGCTCCAGTGTGGCAGATAAGGTGGACGCAACAAGATTTGAGCTTAACAGGAGAGGAGAAGTTAGAAGCTCTCTATACTGTGGCTGCAGATGGCAAGATTTGCAAGTGGTTCATCTGCAACAATGGCCTCGACTGCATAGGTACTGAACTCACCAACAGGCGATGCTTTACCATTTACCATATTAATAAAGACCTTTAAGACTATACACCGATCAGCCATAACATTGTGACCACCTGGGCACCCTGGTGGTCATAATGTTCTGCAGTCCCATACCAACAGACTGTGATGCACTGTTTGTTCTGACCCCTTTCTATCAGAACCAGCATTAACTGTTTCAGCAGTTTGAGCTACAGTAGCTCGTCTGTTCGTTCGGACTACTAAGGCCAGCCTCCCACATGCATCAATGAGCCTTGGCCCCCCATGAACCTGTCTCTGGTTTACTGCTTTTACTTCTTTGGCACTGACCAAGGCAGACCAGGACCACCCCACAAGAGCTGCAGGTTTGGAGATGCTCTGACCCAGTCGTCTAGCCATCACAATGTGGCCCTTGTCAAAGTCACTCAAATCCTCACGCTGCCTATTTTTCCTGCTTCTAACATCAACATTGAGGACAAAATGTTCACTTGCTGCCTGATATACCCCACCTACTGACAGGAGCCATGATAACCAGATAATCAGTGTTATTCACTTCAGTGCTCATGATGTTATGGCTGATCATGTACATAGCCCTGTGAATTCATAAGATATTAGACACTGAATGAATGCTTAGAAAAGGACAGGTAAACAACAAATTAAAAATGACTGATTGATGGTTAAAAGATATATATATATTAGCTAGCTAATGTTAACAAAATGCTAGCTCATCTACATCAATTTTTACCTAGCTAGTTATGTCTGAGGGCTAATGTTAGATAGCTAGCTAGCTAGCTAGCTAGCTAATCAGTCATTAGTTAGCTAGGTAGCATATCTGAGAACAGGAAAGGAGATATTTGACTGAGGTTCTGACTGATTCTTGCTCAACTTTTACTGGGGCACTGAGCAAAAAGGGGCGGGACTTAGGAAGAGTCAGTTTAACCATTTTTATCAAGTTCGAACTGCAAACACATTTAGAATGTTAAATGCTATCACCTTTAATTTGCCTTCTTTGTTTTTAACATATAATTCAAAGAAATAAAAGACGGAGACATTTTGTTATTATATTGCTTTTCAAACCAGTTGTGTGTGTTTCTTACCATAGAGCTGATGAAGCTCAAGAAGATTCATAATACAAAGAAGAAGGCTGGAGGCAACAAGACAGAAAAAAAGACAGAGAGTGTTCTGTCAGCACTGTCTCCCGGCCTGTGTTTTGACTTCCATCCAAGAGTAAGTTGGTAAATAGACTGGTTTCAGTTGAGCTGTGAAACAGCAACTAATTTGTGCTGAACAATTTTTGTAAAAATTAATATTTTAAAGGTTTTGACTTTGACTTCATTTCACTTCTCTTCTTTCCTGCGTTTCATTGTTCTTCCAGGATTCCAGTATCTACTTGGTTGGCACATGGGAAGGTCTCATCCATAAGTGCTCCAGCTCCAACAGTCAGCAGTTTCTGGAGACTTACAGGAAGCACTTTGTAAGTTCTTTAGAATAAAGCTCTTTCTGATTAGACTGATTTAAAACAAAGTAAAACCAAAAAGACCACAAGGCCTTTGCTTATTTTTCCACATTAACCTCAGAGGCTTATATTTGATTACATCAAGTGTGAGCTTGTTCAATACATTAATGTTTTGTCCCACAATGCATTGCTTCCTCAACCTTGGCTGTTTTCTGTAAAAATGCAGTTACATTATACATTGAATAGTAGCACTATGGAGCAATTTTTGATGAACAGCATTTAATGGCACATGCACAATGAAGTACATGCACACCATGAGCACAATGGGGACACAAAACACATTTCTTATGTCAGGCTGATATATCATGATTTAGAACATTCTGTTTAGCAAATGAACAAAAGCTGTATGACATCAGCAGTTTCACAAACATCTGTAGTCATATTTTACTGTTAAAGGAAGCAATGCCCCAATAGAAGAGATTAAAGAAGTAATATAAACAATGCAGGTTTCAAAACTTAACAAAATGGCTTTGCAAAGGATATTGCTGCCACACCAGAGAAAGAAAAATGGATCAGTATCACGTAGCAAGTTAATAGTAGTGCTGTCAAACGATTAAAATATTTAATCGCGATAATGTCATAGTTAACTCGCAATTAATCGCGATTAATTACACATTTTTATCTATTCTAAATGTCCCTTGATTTCTTTTTGTCCCATTATGTTTTTCTCATTTTAATGCTCTTATCAACATGGAAAAGTGGATCAGTTTGCTTTGTGCAAATGTTGTTTTCTATTGAAAACAACATTGGCATATACTGTAGTGTTCAATTTCACACTAACATTCTCATTTGGGGAAAATAATCTCTCACACAATGTAACACTGTCCATCAATAAAAGGGTGAAAAAAATACTTTGTCACACAAACAGCCCCTTCAACAGCCCTTTCTAAGGGATCAAAACAGGGCGATAAAAGCACATGTAAGGTAAACTGGGACTCAGCCTATAGTGCTGTTAAACCATGGCTTAATACTTTTCTCAAGTTTGCTTTGAACATAGCAGTCAGGCTACTGCTCTTTATTCACCAGAGGCTCAACCCAGCCTCTTATTTCAGAAAGAATGAACAGTAACGGTTACCAATAAAAGGTAAGCCTACTACTTCTTTGCTTTGGGCCAGTTACTCAAACAGACAAGCCTGTTGACATTTTCAGACAACAAGGAATCCATCCATTTTGGCGTCTCACGCTCGCCATCCACTCAAAACGTAACGTCTACTACTCTTAGACAAGTGTGTGCGGCCTGCCTGTTGTTTTGTTTCCGGTCTAGCTAGATCCAGTGTGGTGTTGTAGTTTTTCTAACGTTACTAGTCATTGCAACAGCATGTGAAAAAACTACAAAGTGTGCTAGGCGTTAATCTCGTGAAATTGACGCCGTTAAGATGGGTTTGCGTTAACGCCATTAATAACGCGTTAAACTGACAGCACTAGTTAATAGTTTATTGTTATAACAGGAAACGTTTCTTGTTATAACTTGATAAATTTGTATGTTGTAATACTGTAAAAATATCTTGTTATACCATGATACTGATCTATTAAGCCTTTAGGGTACTTGTAACGTAATTTGCCGAAACAAAACCTTATTAACCTTAATAATTGAGTAACTAATCCCTAGTGTAGACGTTATTACTGCTGTGGTTCAAGTTATACAAGAAATAGTTAAAACAATCACTATTAAGATAATAAAATTAATTCTCTTCTCATCTCATCCTTCTCTATCTACCACCTCCAATCCTTTCTCTGGATTAGAGTTTCTAGCTTGATGCTAAAATCTGTAATCACTTGGGTGTGTGTTCTGCCATAGGGTTAAGTAATCAGAGAGAACTTTGGTAACCTTCACGTCTCTCCCTGCAGTGTCCTGTGAACTGCATCATATGGTGTCCACTCATTCCTGATGTGTTCCTGAGCTGCTCCTCTGACTGGACCATCCAGTTGTGGAAGCAGGACCACCTCAACCCTGTGTTAGGTTTCAGCTCTACGCAGAAAGCTGTGTGTGACATCAAGTGGTCCCCGAAGTGTGCCACAGTATTTGGAGCTGTCAATGAGGGACAGCTAGAAATTTGGGACCTGAATTCCAGCATGTGAGTCAAACTGAGGGTAGGATGATCTGTCTGTGATTGCTCTGTCTCTCTGAGTCAAGAGTAATCCTGCTTATCTTCTCTCCTACAGCTTGGACCCAGTCATTGTGCAGCCTGCTGCCCCTGGAGTGAAGATGACGTCCCTGCTGTTTGCCACACAGACAGACTGTGTCCTGGTAGGAGACAGTGACGGTCAAGTGACGGTCTACCAGCTCAAGAACCTCAGTGTGGGAAAGAACAGCCAGGTAAAACTGAGGAACAGGTGACCTTAATGCACAGCCAGCTGCTGGTAGAGACAGTTTAGGCAAATGCTGCAAATGCTGTGGGTGCTAGGCAACTGTAGGGATGCACTATGACAAAAAATGTCATGTGCTTGGAAGGGGAATGTGACGTGAGGGACTTGCAATCTGCAACCACTAGATGGCACTTATTCCTGCACACTGGTCCTTTTCGACTAATTTTTATCATCTTCTGGTTGCAGTCTGATTAGGTATATGATATGAGTATATATGGTTACTTATATTATGTACATCACATCTATAAGCATATGTGTGTATCTATACATGGACTGTACACTACAGTTACAAACACAGTTTTCAGATAACTTAGCTAACATTTGCGAAAGTGGTGCAAAAGTTATTAACGTTACATTAGCTAATCGTCATAACACAACCTTTTTTCTGAGCTGATGATGGAAGTCGCTAAGTAGCTAAAGGCCCTATTATTTTTTATCTATAACCCCCACACTAGCTCCAACTAGACATGCATGCACGCTGCCCCGCATTGCTTCATGCCACTGTCCTACTTACAGTATTGCTGCGCCTAAAATGATAAATTATAATGCAAAAAAAGCATTATCTGGTAAACGAGTGATAGCTCTTTAGGTGAGTTTAAATAGTGGTGTCCACACATGATTTTAATTTGATGTCCTTTAGTAGACATTTTATATAGTACAATCAGTTTTAGTCTGAAAAAAGTAAAACAGTTGGCCTTCACAGTCTAAATGCCAGTGCTGTTGTAAATTTGTACCAGCATTGTTCACGCTGCAACACGGTGCTTCCTGTGTGCTAGTGGTGCTTGACGCTCGTCATATGATGTGTGTTTTAGCCTTGAGCCAATGCATTTCCTTCTCACCTCTGTTGAGAGTTGGACATACACAGTACTGATCAAGCAGGAGGTATTGCAGTGAGAACACAAACATACACTTTCCAACTTACAGCCAGTCATAGTGTGTCACAGAATCTGTAAATGCAAAACCCTTAGCAAATCAGGCAGGCCGAGCACATCTGGTAACTACACGAGCCCCATATGTAATCAACTGATCATGTTTACTTGCATGTCCAGAGGATCAGACCACGTTTCAAGCACAAAGAGCATGATTGCGCTCAGATCTCCCCACAATCCCAACATGCAGTTGCACAGCCTGTCAATTTATGCATGGAGCACACTGCTGGGAATATTCCTAAGTCAGTTTCTCACACAGTTTTTTAATATAATTGTTTTCTATAAAAAGTTCCAAACACACTAAACAGTAAATTCAACATCATCTTTCCTGAAAGCAGATTTGGGGCAATCGATAAATAAATTCAGATTACTGTAAGGGCAAAACACTGCTGTCAGTGTTGATGTTCATTATCTGAGAGGCATCTGATGGAGTTTGAAGGCTGCTTGCCTCAGTGGCACAGATACATGATAGTCAGCTCACATGACAACAACGTGTCTCTGGATCTTTTCTTTCAGGTGGATATTCTGGAAGATATCATCCGCTCTGCAGCTTCCAGATAGCTTTCAGAAACACACACAGATGTATCCTCAAGCCATTTGGGTTTCATTAGTGTATTTTAATTCAATTACACTTAATTGTTTCAACCTAATTCAACTTTATTGTTCTTCCAAAAAAGAACCACCGCTAATATAATTCTTAGAAACACACCATTATGTAATTTGTATGTGTATTTGTATCAGTTTTGGAAAATGTATATTGAATTAAAATATGTGAACCAAAAGGGTAACTGTGCAGGACAGACTGGAAACTGTCGTAAGTTTCACACACTGCTGCCTTCACTCATATGCCATATAACCAGCCTGATGTATTATATGTCCACCGTGTAACACTTAGGAGGATCTACTGGCAGAAATGGAATATAATATTCATAGGTATGTTTTTATTAGTGTATAATGACCTGGAAATATCATCATGTCATGTTCCTACAGTCACTTTAATGGATATATGATGGATCAGCACCAACAAGCACAGAAACTCAACATTAGGATTATAATGCCAACTTCCCCTGCTACTTCTTTCTAATCCATAACAGCGCACTCTGATGCTCAGAACAGTATTTGAATTCAACTATAAATTCAGAGATTGAGTTTCTATCAATGAGTGTGAAGGTTAAGAGGTGATTTTGACATTTTTTAACTTGTTTTCAGAAGATATTTGTGCCCTACCAAATTACATTTGACATCATTTCTGCATGTTTATTCAGTATCTTTACAGATGTGATGGCAAAGGTCACCAGTTACCAAGACAACCTTGAGGATGGAGACAAAATTTGCTTCATAAAGGGTTTCATTCTTTGACTTCTGTTGTGTTTTTCCTGAATGTGCCAAATACAAATACAATCAATAAGAGGTGAAAAAGATCTACTTTAAAAGAAATCATATTATTTTTTCTGAGTAACTAAACCTTCAACCATGCTTGATGTTATCATGTAGTTCCACATTCACCCCATTAACTCATATACATACACAATCAGGGGTAACCTGGATCATTTTCTCATCAGCAGCAATATTTATTCTTCATTTCAAAAATAGAAATCTCTGCAGCAACACTAAAGGCAGCTATCTTATCAAACCGTATGTATTATGTTTTCGTAAAATAAATCAACCAGTGATCAGAACACATTCACAAAACAGCCCCAGCAATGATGGTCTCACATAATCCATGACCAGATTCATACATTTTATAATAGCGGCCGCACAGTTTGAAAACAGCATTTGCGTAGCAAAATTACTGTTCACTGTGCAACAAACAAAAAACATGAAACAAAGTACAGTGATCATAAAAGAGATGCATTTCCTAACACAGCTACACACACACACACAGAAACATTTCCCTTTACAAATGACTTGCATGAGTGACATTTTTGACTAATAACTAAAAATATTTTAATAAACATTTTATTAGTAGTAGCATTTGAACCCCTGTGATCCAAAGTTTCTGTGCCTTGTTTTGTTTGATAAATCTGTACTGACCTACTGTGTATGTATATAATCTGCCCATATACTCAGTGTTCCTTGCTTACTTCAAAACATTTACTAATAAGTAAGTTTTTAGTCAGAAACATTGAGTATATTAAGGTTCTACTAATGAAGTGCAGTTGCAGTTGAGAATCATATGGCATTGTTTACAATCTACTGATGTTATTTCTACATTGTTTGAATACGGTGTTACATTAAACGGGGGATACAGATGGCAACCTACTTCTGATCTGTAATCCAGTGTTGGAGTACACATGCCGCTGCATCCAGGGGTATTCTTCCAGTGTAGGGTCCAGTGTATAACATTTAGAAGACTCAGACACTGATTGTAGATGGGGCCGTTTGCGAGTTTGGTTGCCAATGTACACTCTTCACTGCCTGTTCTCATTCCCAGGACTGCTAGATGCCACAGAATCCTACACACTAGTCCTTTAAGTAGGATTTTTTGTATTTTAACTTGTTGTATTACTATTATCACTTTACAATGTGTAGTAAAAAGTCTCCAACAGTCTTGACGGATATAAATAGTTCAGAAAATGTATGTTATGGAACAATTGACTTTTTCCTTGAAACACACCACTAAGAAATGTGAAAAATACTGGAAATCATATCTGAAGCTTAAGTGATTGTGTTTTTTAAGATTTTGTTGGAGAACTTTGTTCTATTTCTTTATGGAATAAGGCCATCAGGATGGACTAAGGGTATGAATCAGTAAAAGATGTTAAACCCTGGCTTTGCATGAGCTAAAGCCAATGTGTTTTTTTTTTTGTCAAAAAAAAATAATACATTTTTATTTTATTTTATTTTATTTAAAAAAGGTCCAGTGTGTACGATTTAGTGTCATCTAGTGGTGTAGTTACAGTTTACAACTCCCTCGCCTCACCCCTCCCTTCCAAGGGAAGCAAAAAAGTGCCCTATCTACAGCCAGAGTTTGGATTGTCCATTCTGGGCTACAACATGGCGAACTTGGTAGAAACTCCCTCTGTAGATAAAAGCTCATTCTAAAGTAACAAAAACACAATGATTCCTTTTTTCAGGTGATCATACACTAATGAAAACATAGCTATGAATATTGTATTCCATTACCGACAATAGATCCTCCTAAATGTTACACACTGGAACTTAACAGCTGTGTTTCAGCATATTAGTATGTAGTTCTGTCATTATTAAACCCATTAGTTAATTAAACTTTGTTCATTGTTAATTACCTGTATGTGAAATTACATTGCTTTTCTACAATTCTGTGTTTTTCTTTAACTTATATTCTACTGGAGACATTGAGATGAGTTTTGGTGCCAGTATTGTGACCAGTGAGTGACACTTTTACAAAGCTGGTGTAGCCCTTACACATATTGATATCAGTAAAGAAATAAATGTTTCTTTATTTGGAGTTGACTCTACAAAGCTCTTGAATCGGTGAATCCCTACATTAAAAGGTGCCGTGCAGTTATTTTGTCAGATGAAAAATTTGTCAAGGTTGATAAAATGTTTAAGGCCCAGACAACCACAGCATGTTGGCAGTCCAGTTTTTTTTTTTTTTACTTTATCATCAGCCGGCTGAGCAGAAGCTCAGACTGTGAAAGTCAGTGAATGATGGCAGGCCTGGTGCTGAACAGACTGAGGCTGAAGGGGCTGGGGAGAGAGAGACATACAGTAGACAGAGAGTAAGAAGAATTTACTTTAGAATTCATATTGATTCATGTCTCTGCCATCCTTTTATTTAATCCTGAGGGTGACATGAGAAATAATGGTGCTTATCTGTTCGTGCCGTATAGTTTTGATCCAACTGACTGCACTGCCTTTGAAAAGGAACAAGATCATAAAGTAGACACTCACCTCCTGATCTGCGTGCCAGAGGCAGAGGAGCTCCGAATCAGCTTCTTAGAGGAGGAGAAGGAGAGGGGGACTTTAGTGGGCTTAGGGGGTGGGAGAATGGAGCAATGAGAGGCCTTGGACAGGTTTAACCTGAATAAGAAACACAAAGAAATTAACTGATTATAACATATGCATGTTTGTTATTTTACAAACCATTAAATATAAAGCAAATAACATAACAGCATTATGTGAAAATTTTATTGGACATTTTTCAAAAGCAGGACTGATAGTGGGTATGTAGGATGAGACAAAAAAACAAATACTATCAGCTGACTCATGAAAACGCAATGAAATTACATATTTATGCTGCATATGTAGAAACCATGAATAATGGTATAACAACACATTTAAAGGGTTAAAGATGTGATGCTTAAAAGCCCTGCACACCCACACAGACGTTTTCACTTCTTCTGCACGCGCACGTTGAAGCTGGGTTGAGCTGTGCTGGAATAAAGTGAGGTCACCAACCTACAGGGACCAATAAGAATGATAAAGGTTTAATGCAAGACAAATAGGAGGGTCCGACAGATGTCAATCAAGCAAATTCTGTACACACCCACACAGCTATCACTCAGTCTAATCAGGCAAAATAAGTGGAAACGCCTGTGTAGATGGACCACGGCAATAGCCATTCAATGTATTTATATTCAATAACAACTACATAGTAGTTTTAATCATTAGTGTTAGGGATGGGTGGATCAATCCCAAGGATTGATACTTTGATACTCACAAGTTACTCATTTGGTATTGACGTCTTTTATAAATTAGCGATAATACAGTTACATAAATCAAAATGTGGGTGGCTGCACCATTGCCAAACGTTTTCATGTGCGCTATTTTAATGTTTGTGCTGAAACACCCCTGACATATTGAGATAATCTGTGTCATATGACGATGGAAATAAGACGTGAGAACCAAGCACGCTGCCACACACAGTCGTGCATATTCACATTAACTTGTGTTGTGAATGTGAGAGAGAAGGGAGACTGCCATTGCTATCTGCTGTGTGTTTTGCCTTTGAATGTAATTTTTTTCCTAAAAATTACCATTAATTTGAAAAATCGCATACCCATTTAAAGAAATCATAGGCATCAGTAAAATTGTTTAAAAAATAAATAAAATCTGTATTTTTATATATGTTAGGTATCGTATCAAATTTAAAAACATGCGATACCAACAATCTTCACACAAACTATTCAAAGAAAACGAGGCAGTGTGTAGTTAATCCAGAATTTAATCGAATTGATAACAGCCTTACTGTTTATTGTTTACTCTCTTTACAGAGCTGTATTAAGTTAACTAGAGAAGAAAGGCTGCTGAAAAGCTGACACTAAAAACTGATTTACTGGCTGCAAAAGTTAAATGATGTTTATAACCTGTAGAAAAGTGGAAGACTTTAAGGTTTGTTGAAAAGGTGACACTATGGCTTTGTAGTTGGAAAAGTGAGAAATAGTCTATGATTGGAACTGAAAAGTTGAATAAATGTCATAATGTATTTAAAACTTTATAAGGTTTTAATTGAGTTTAATGCTTGAAAAATAATGATGAAAATGTGTTTGTGTGTCTGTCTGTGCATGTCTGTCAAACTGTAATCAGCTCATCTTAATCAGCTGTGCTCTGCAATTAAGGGTTGCCAGGGTGATGGTATTGATTTGACTCCTGGAGTTCATTTTATGGAGATTTTAGCTGAGACACACCTCTCATGCTTTTGCCTCTAGTGCCAACACTGTGGGGGATGGTTGGAATATCCTAAGAAATTAGTATTAGTAAAGTATTTTGGGGAGGAAAACCTTTCAGTGACAAGGTACGAGCTGAAATGACTTTTTGGCAAGTGGAAAACTGCATTTTATGGGCTGGATTGGTACTTTAAAGGTATTTCAACTGGTACAAAAGACTGGGTGAGCTATAATCTCTAAAATATAACCCCCATGAGTGAAATCAAGTCACTCGTAGGTTACATGCCTAACCATAACCCTTAAAAAACAAATTATCACCAAGTAGTACCTTGAGGAGGAGGAGGCCGATCGAGGTGGTCGTTTTCCCTTCAGTGCTCTTAGTTTGTCTCCCTGAGTTAGACCGCCTTCCTTACAGTTACTCTACACACATTTATACACACAGAAAGAGGAAGAGAGAGAAAGTATTCATTATCAGTATGAATAGAAAATTGAAGATATCCACATAAATCAAGTGTCTTTTCATAGTTTTTAATCCTCCTCATTTTTATTTTTAGTCCCGCCCCTCACCTCATCCAAGCTGTATGATTTGTAAAGGGTGGTGTTGATTGACAGGTCGTCCATGCTGGAGAGCAGGCAGGACATGGCTTCCTGTCTCCCTCCGTCAGAGTCGGTGCTGTGAAGCTGCTGCTGTCGACTCTGCTGCTGTATCTGCTGCCGTCGACTCAGTCTCTGCTGAACCAGCTTCTGTTTGGAGCGATGGACGTCACC